CTTCCTCCGCTCGCAGCAGACGCGCATCGACGACACCGCCCGCGAGCGCTCCCAGGCCACCGAGCGCCGCACCGCCGCCCTGCGCAAGGTGACCGAGATCGAGGAGAACCTCGAGAGCCGCAAGGATACGGTGCAGCAGCTCGCCACCGAGTACGCCGCCAAGCGCGACCGCCGCGACGAGCTCTCGGAGCTGCGCAAGGACCTGTGGAAGGAGGAGGAGTCGCTGCGTTCGTCGCTCGCGTTTGCGGCCAACGAGCTGTCCAACGCGCAGCGCAAGCTCGTCGGCATGATGGACAAGGCCACCGTCCAGGGTCTCTCGGCGGTGGACAAGATCGCTGCGAGCCTCGGCCTGCAGGACAACGTCAAGGGTCCCGTGTACCAGCTCTTCTCGGTGGACGACAAGTACAAGACCGCCGTCGAGGTGGTGGCGGGCGCGTCGCTCTTCCACGTGGTGGTGGATACGGACGAGACGGCGAGCAAGCTGCTCGAGGTCATGAACCGCGAAAAGAGCGGGCGCGTGACGTTTATGCCGCTCAACCGGCTGCATCCCAAGGAGACCGACTTCCCCGCCACGCAGGATGCCATCCTGATGGTCAAGAAGCTGCAGTTCGAGCGTGCGCTTGCACCGGCGATGCAGCAGATCTTTGGCAGGAGCATCATTTGCCCCAACCTCGAGATCGCCGCGGCGTACGTGCGCAGCCACGGCGTCAACGCCGTGACGCTCGACGGCGACAAGGTGGAGCGCAAGGGTGCGCTGTCCGGCGGCTACCAGGACCCGCGGCGCAGCCGGCTGGATGCGGTCAACGACGTGCGCAAGTGGAAGGCGCAGAGCGAGGCGGACACGGCCAAGCAGGCCGAGGTGCAGCGTCGGCTGGGCGAGATCGAGCAGGAGATCACCGCGCTCATGAGCGACATGTATGCGCTGCAGCACCGGCGCGACGAGGCGCGCAACTCGCGCGCGCCGCTCACCGAGGAGCTGCAGTGGGCCCGCACCGAGGCCGACAACCTCGCGCAGCGGCTGCAGAGCATCGAGCGGCGCGAGGCGGACCAGACGCTCGAGCTCAAGACCACACAGACGAAGCGCGCGGCGCTGGAGGAGGAGGTGCGCAAGCCCATGAGCGCCGGGCTCACGCCGCAGGAGTCGGCGCAGCTCGAGACGCTGCATGCACAGGAGGACGCGCAGAAGCGCGCGCTGGCGGACAAGACCACCGCGCTCGCCGAGCTCAGCCAGCGACGCTCGATGCTCGAGATCGACCTGTACGAGAACCTGCGTCGGCGCCACGACGAGCTCGGCGCGCAGCTCGAGGCGCTCGGCGAGTCGCTCGGCGGCGACGACGCCGGGGCCGTCTCTGGCCAGGATGTGTCGGCGCGTCGGCGCGAGATCGACGCGCTCCGACGCAGGATCGGCGAGCGCGAGAAGCGAATCAAGGCGGTGGAGGCCGAATTGGACCGACTCACACAATCGATCCAAGACACGCAGGCGGGCTACGACAAGACCAAGGCGGAGCAGGCGGAGGATGCGCGCAGCATCGCGCGGCAGCAGAAGAATGTAGAGCGGTACCTGAGCAAGCGCTCGCGGCTGGTGGAGCAGCGGGATCGGTGCAACCAGGACATCCGCGACCTTGGCGTGCTGCCGGAGGAGGCCTTTGAAAAGTACACCAACACCAGCTCGGACCGGCTGCTCAAGGCGCTGCACAAGGTCAACGAGGCGCTCAAGAAGTTCTCGCACGTCAACAAGAAGGCGGTGGAGCAGTACAACTCGTTCACCAAGCAGCGCGACCAGCTGCTCGAGCGCCGCGCCGAGCTCGAGCAGAGCGCCGACAGCATCCAGGAGCTCATCGACGTGCTCGACCAGCGCAAGGACGAGGCGATCGAGCGCACGTTCAAGCAGGTGAGCAAGTACTTTGAGGAGGTCTTTGAAAAGCTCGTCCCCGCCGGACGGGGGCGGCTCATCATGCAGCGTCGCGCAGACCTCACCACCGGTGCTGCTGAGGGCGACAGCGACGACGAGCCGAGCGCGGGGCAGGTGGAGAACTACACGGGCGTGGCGATCAAGGTCTCGTTCAACTCGAAGCACGACGAAGGCTTGAGGATTCAGCAGCTGTCCGGTGGGCAGAAGTCGCTCGTGGCGCTGGCGACGGTGTTTGCGATCCAAAAGTGCGATCCGGCGCCGTTCTACCTGTTTGACGAGATCGACGCGAATCTGGATGCGCTGTACCGCACGGCGGTGGCCAACATGATCCGGGAGCTGGCGCACAAGGCGCAGTTCATCACCACCACCTTCCGGCCCGAGATGGTGCAGGTGGCGAGCAAGCACTACGGCGTGCTGTTCGACGCCAACAAGGTGAGCAGCATCCGCAGCATCAGCCGCGACGAGGCCAACGAGTTTGTCGAGGCCGCCGCCACCACCGAGCCCGTGCGCTAGAGTAGACGTGCAATCCAGTATATCCTTTGCTCAGTTGGGATTGTGGAAAAATTGCCGAGGATGGCGTGCGCGCGCACGGGGCAGCGAGAGCGCAGCGGTGTTGGACCCTGACTGCGCATCTCGCGCCGAGCTTGACTTTGCACCTCGACGATCTTTTGCGGAGGACAAGATGGTGGAGGTGGTGCTGAATGCCGCTGCTGGGTCAGGGCTTGCCGAGTCATTGTACACGACGCACCTGCTACCTCTCTTGGGCCCAGAACAGCTTCGGGTCCACCGCACTGCCAGCAGCGGGGACGGCGTTCGCATCGGTCGCACGCTCATCGACTCGCACACCTCGCTGCACCCCTCGGCTCCGCTCGACATCATACTCGTCGGCGGAGACGGGACGACACACGAGGTGCTTAACGGGATCTACCTGTCTGGTTCACGTGGGTCGGTTCAAGTTCGACTCGCGGTGGTACCTGCGGGAACTGCGAATGCGCTCTTTGCCGCGCTGTATCCCGAGCACTGGACGCAGGATGTGCAGCGTAGCGTCGCCGCAGCCCAGTCGGCCTCGGAGCTGGATTCGGATGTGGTGGATGCCATGCTGCGGAGCGTCAAGACTCTCGCTGCTTCAATTCGATCGGGGGAAGGCTGTGTGGATCTGCCTCTGATGCACGTCGATCTGGGCGACAGGCAGATCGTTGCGCATCTGGTTACGTCGCACGCACTGCATGCTGCCATCCTACACGATGCCGACACCGCCGCGATGCGCGCACGCCACACGGGCATCGAGCGCTTCAAAGCCGCCGCCGCGCTCAACGCCACACGCTGGACCCACGCCACGCTCACCCTCCACCCGCTCCCCGGCGGCGTCCAGCAGTACTCGCCGCAAACCTCGTCCTTCTCCCGCATCGAGGAGGGAAAGTTGGTTCTGGAGGGGCCGTTTTTGTACCTCAACGCCATGCTCACCGACCGGCTCGAATCGGCCTTTATCCCCGCACCCCTCTCCTCTGCCTTGGCACTACCTAGGGATGCAGTGGATGTGGTGGTGATCCGCCCCACGCGCGACCCTGAGCTGGCTGGCGATCCCAAGGATGGCGAGACGTTCGCACAGACACGCTTGGGTCCCATCACAGCAGGCATGTACGCGGGCGGAACGCACATCGACCTGACGTACGATGCGACGCTGCCCATGGTCGAGTACTTTCGCTGTGCCGGCTACGACTTTACTGCCGGTGCGGGGGACAAGGACCGACTTGTGTGCACCGACGGCTTTGTATCGGAAGCCGAGCGTGTGCGCGTAACTCGATGGCAGCCGCAGGAGGGCGCACTCTCCCCACCTCTCATCTGGCGATAACCTTGGCCATCAAGAGCATGCATTCGAAAGAGCCATTCCAGTGGGAATGCGGGTGTGTTGCGATCGGGGCGATTTGGAAGCCCGATTGAAGCAGTGGCGCGTGGAATGCAGTGTGCTGCACGATCCGGTGTGAAGCGGGCGGTGTGCACGGATGTGAGCTGGCGCTCCAAAGTGGGGACCGCGTGGAATGCTCGACGCGCCCTTGTGCTTCTCGCACGGAAATTGTAGCACTCTTCTTCGCCCGCTCGTCACGGTGTGTTACTTGCACCAACACCACCATCTCCCTTTCCACCTTCACCCTCCTCCTCCCCTCTCGCTTTCGAAGCGGCACTACTTGTCACGATGAACATCTTTCGGCTTGCAGGAGACTTTGCGCACCTCGCATCGATCTTCATCCTGCTCCACAAGATGCAGCTCTCCAAATCGTGTCGCGGCATCTCGTTCAAGACGCAGCTGCTGTACACGGTCGTATTCGTGACGAGGTATATGGATCTCTTCCACGAAAACTCGCTCTACCGCTTCCTCATGAAGCTCTTCTTTATTGGGTCCAGCGTTTACGTGCTCTACTTGATGAAGGTCAAGTTTAGGCCCACGCACGATCCCGCCATCGACACGATCAAGCTCGAGTATCTTATGGGCCCCTGCTTTGTACTCGCATTGCTCTTCCATTATCGGTTCGACTTTGTCGAGATTCTCTGGACCTTCAGCATCTATCTCGAAGCAGTGGCGATTTTGCCCCAGCTGTTTATGCTCCAGAGGACAGGAGAGGCAGAAGCGATCACCACGCATTACATCTTTGCTCTCGGCGCCTACCGCGCGCTTTACATCCCCAACTGGCTTTACAGGTACGTCCATCCCCCCCCCCCCCCCCCCCCCCCCCACCC